AATATACAATATATTTACAGCAAACATTATTTTTTTTTACAAATGAAGCAATGTGATGCCCTTTTAAAATTTTGGTAAAACCTTATGCTACAGTAAAAATGTCATGTGCATGATGATCAGGCAGCTTTTACAGTAACAACCAACTGAGAATGAACTCAGATTTTTCAGTGCAATTTAGTGGTCTTTTTCTGCGCATCAAAGCCTCTAACCTTTCTCTATCTACTCCTGTACATTTTAATATCAATGCTGTTTTACAAAGTGCTTTTAGAGTAAGTTGTTTTTGGTCCTCTTCACATATGTCCTCTGTGCTGGTGTTATTGGTGATCTTCTAGAGAACCCAGTGTTTTTATTTTTTCTACAATGTATGTTCCATTGATGTCTTTGACTGCCGGACATCTTTCCACTCCATTTTGGTGTTTTGCAGTGCCTGGGTCTTCTTTTCATCCACCTGGACGTAATCCACTCTGTGGTCATCGGACAAAAAAGGCTTCTGCTCGACATACAGAGGGAGAAAGATCAGAAGAGATCTTGATTTACAAACCTTAGATCAGGCATTTCTCACTGTAATGTTGTACACAATAAAAAATTATTAACTGCCACAAAAGTAGCATGGTTGCATCCACATGACATCACATGTATTGTAGATCATTTTTAGAATAGAATAGAAATTGTTTTAGAATAAGGACTGATTTGAAGAGTTTAATAGATGCGGGTCAGTGGATTTAATATTGCCTTGTGATTATAATGTTATAATTCTACTGAGTATGGTCTGGTTTTATTTTTAAAATGTTAAAGATCATTAATCTGTGGTTATAGCTGCTCTCTCTCACCACCTCAGACAGTGATTCCCTCTGTTTGACACCCTGTGCATAAAACAATAGCTTGTAGTAATTAGCTGGTGTGGGTTGAGAAAAAAATCTGCTGGTGTCTTCAGAGGCTCCATATGCAAAATGGTGCGGAACCAAAAGTTAATTTCTGTTATTTATCTGAACGTAACAAACCTTCTGTACTGGAGAGGGGGATGCAGAATTGAAATCCAGGGACAAATAGTCAAGGTTGGATTTTCTCGCCCAGGGTTGAACAGCTCCATCGCAGGTGATCCTTGACTCCTGTCAGAGAAAGAACCAGATGAAGATCTGACTAAATGATTACTGGTTCCAGAAAGCTGGATCTGAGATACTTGCAATTCTAAAAGAACCTCAGTACATTAACATAACATAATACATTTGAGCTGTTACAAAGCTGGCAGTACCTCATCACTGTCTGAACAAATGCTGGCCCTAAACTGTTGAGGAAACTAGTTGGAGGAGAGTCTAGCTCGATGACACATGACTAATGTGCTTTTCCTCAAACTTTATTCTAGGAAATTGCCCCAAATATGCAACATTATCAAGACGAGCCTTGTACAACTTCACACTGTTACAAATGCTCACAGCCTGGAGGGTCTTCACTGTGACTGTAGCTTGCTGATCAGAAAACTTTAGCAAGTCTTAACTACGCCCCTGGCACATTCTCCACTCACTGAGCATCCCACAATTATAAGAATTATGTTGATATTATATAAGTACTCTACATAGATTTCCATAGAGTTTAATGTCCAATGTTTTCCTTTTTTTAATTCTGAGGCTTAGTTATAGTTAAATCCAGCTAGTTTTCATGAAGGTCAGATCAGTTAATGTTACATCACTTTCATCTTTCTGGTGCATTTAGTTAAACAGAAAAAACGACTTAATTACTCTTAGTTCTTAACAATGTACAATAAAGGCCTCTTTTAATCTCTGGTAGAGAGAGAGGTTGATGGCATTATTAAAATTGCATGATAAAGTCTTTACACAACATAAACTGGCTTTTGTTGGGAATGTTGTGTGTATTGTGTAAAATCTGTTTTCAGCAGTGGGAATAGAAATGTTACCATTGTGTCTCCATCTCTCGGACTGTCTCCATTCTCAAGTTTTCTGTCAAGAAGTAAACAGTTCACTGAAAAGCTGCAAGTGCACAAAAAACAGAGATTTAAGGTCAGATTAGCATCCAGTAATGAAGAAGCTTTCGAGAAACATTATCTTTGTGCTGAGTAAGCATATTTACATATAACCAAGGTAAGTTATATTTGATTTTTTATGAGGAAAAGGTATTAATTAAGTCTCATTGTCAGCAAATCAACACTGGAACCAGCTATTACTCCCAGCTGGTAATTTACTGCAGGAATGGTCTGTAGACAACATCTAAATCTCATTTCACTAGTTTTAATGCTTGTTAACACAGCATTAAAAGTGTCTTTATTTTTTTTTTGTATCAGTTGAAGATGTGATGTTAGTTTCAATCACATCTATATGCTCTAAAAGAAGGAAAGGGTTTATTTGCAATTTTAACATGCTCATTTCTTTATTTATCATGTGAAGGTATTGCATAAGAGGAAAAGACTCTTTGGAAAAAGGTTTCCTCTCACCATGTTCCAGTTGTCATTCTGCTCAGAGGAAGATGAGTGGGACATTCTGTGATTGTAGAAAGGCCTCTCAGGTCAAGAGGTGGGGGACGAGCTGTGAACAAATAAAGTTATTAAATTGATTATAATTGTCTGACGTGCCACAGGAAGAAGTGTTTTCGACGAGTAAACATGATCATGAGAAAATAGGTCTGCATATCTGATGTCTGCATGAATCCTGTTCTGACTTTCTCCATAAATTAGTATGGGACAGTGTTGGAGCTTGTGCACATGAATCAAAACTATCATAACTTTTAGTCATTTTCTACATGGGCAGACCCTGTTTAACATTTATCAAACACTACACATATCATTAAGACTTAAAATAATCACTCAGCTTTCACAAAATACAAAAAATGTAAGAAACAGGAACTTATTGTGGCTCTCACCTCTTCTCAAACGAGGCTTGAGGTGTCGGTGAATGGGAGGTGGTGTGAGATCTCCTGGTGGACAAATAAGTGAGCCGACAGTTGCGGAAGACTCAACACTGCAGTTTGTGTTGAGGAAGCTGAACGTCCTTGGGCTCATGGGGATGTAACCATCACATTCAACGGTGGGAGGAGGAGAAGTCATGGGAACATATGACTCATCCCGGTAACT